CAGCCATAGGGCCCTCCATGCATGTGACATGTACCCAAATGAGGAGAACTCACTAAAAGTAATTTACAGATGCCCCTGGACTGGTCAGCTGCAGGGATGAAACTTGGGGCATCACAAGCCAAAGATCAGCTCTATTAGCTCAGAGGCAGTCACAGACCAAGAAACTTCTGTGTATGGTCTTGCCACATGAGCGGGACAAAGAGGGGTCATAGTAGTAAGGGTTTTAGGTGGGGAATGCTGCCTTTTTAACCCTTAAGACTTCTGTTTCCTGGTGGGAGATGCACCTGGAACTGCTCCAGTGAGAAGGAAGTGGACATGCATCCCTGGCTGGTAGTTTGTGTGCCTCTCAGGCTATGGGACTAGAGGGAAACCAGATCTCCTGACTAATACTGTGGGCAAGGGTGGGAACAAGAGCCCAACCAGCAGTCTCATGACAGATGTGAAATCAAAGATGCCAAGCACACTCCTGTGTAGACACCAAATTCACAAGTGGTTTGTACAGTGGTGCAAAGGAGAATAAGGAAACTGGTGTAATGTACACCTTCTTCCAGACTCTCCGAGGAAAAATCTGTCTTTTCTTACACTGGTGAAACCCCAGTGATGTAGTCCTGTACCGTGTGAGAGTTTCTATGCTAGCTTAAACTCTGTAGATCCACTTAGCAATGTGTAACTTACAGCCCTTTTCATTTCACCTCAGAACTTAGCTCTTCCTGCTTAACATGTTTTGCTGTTAAAGATCTTTCCAGTGACACAGTACTGACAGACTGACTGACAGACAGACTGTGCCATGAAATTACTGCCATATGTACTTGCCCTCAGCAGCCCCTATCCCTAGGGCAGGCATGGTGGGGAGTAAATGGGGAGGGTAGCCTTTTCCCTCTGTCAAACAATTCCAGCCAACTAATTATTTCAAACAGGGGCTGTTCTGCATCAGACTTGGTGGTTGAGAAACAAATCCCACCAGTGTTTCTCCATTAATCAGACTGTTAATAGTCTTTTAATAAGGAAAGAAAACAAATATGTCAAGACAGAAAAATGGGAAGGATTCAAAGGAAAGCAGGATAAGCCGTGAATGAATGGTCTGTGGCCCTGTTAAAAATACGTAGGTTTGCCTTAGGCACGGCCCTCATTTGAGCTAATCTTACTAATGCCATCTGGTTTCATGCTTATAATGGCATCCTTGTCAATGTCTGTCACTGGCAGACTAGACTGTGTAGGACTCTGCATGTGTGTTTGTCTCTCTCTTTCCCCTCTCCAAGATGTGTTCAGTATTGCAACCTGTTACATAAGTATATAGGATCTCACATCTTAAATGATCCCAGTACACTTCCCAGACTACTCTGTGTGTGTATATGTGGATTAGAGGTGGCACAGATAGAAATGTCTATAGTTGTGGTTGCCAGATAGTTTCCATTATAAAACTCTGTTTTCAGTTGCTTATACTTTTGCCCAACTTTAGCTGTAAGGTGGAAATTTGACATACTGGGCATCTGCTTCAGGCTGAATTTATTTATTTATTTTAAATTAGGGCTATCAAGAGATTAAAAAAAAATCATGATTCAAAATATGAATCGCGATTAATCACATTGTTAAACAAAAATAGAATTCCACTTATTTAAATATTTTGGATGTTTTCTACATTCTCAGATATAGTGATTTCAATTACAACACGGTATACAAAGTGTGCAGTGCTCACTTTATATTTATTTTTGATTACAAGTACTTGCACTGTAAAAAAACAAAATAAATTGTATTTTTCAATTCATCTAATACAAGTACTGTAATGCAATCTCTTTATCGTGAAAGTTGAATTTACAAATGTAGAATTATGTACAAAAACTGCATTAAAAATAAAACAATGTAAAATTTTAGAGCCTGCAACTCCATTCAGTCCTACTTCTTGTTCAGCCAATCACTCAGACAAACAAGTTTGGTTACATTTGCAGGAGATAATGCTGCCCGCTTCTTGTTCACAATGTCACCTGAAAGTGAGAACAGGCATTCGCACGGCACTGTTGTAGTCAGCATCGCAAGATATTTACGTGCCAGATGCGCTAAAGATTCATATGTCCCTTCATGCTTCAACCACCCATTCCAGAGGACATGCATCCATGCTGAGGATGTGTTCTGCTCGTTAACAATCCAAAGCAGTGTGGATCAACACATGTTCATTTTCATTATGAGTCAGATACCACCATCAGAAGGTTGATTTTCTTTTTTGGTGATTAAGGTTCTGTAGTTTCTGCATCGGAGTGTTGCTCTTTTAAGACTTCTAAAAGCATGCTCCACACCTCATCCCACTCAGATTTTGGAAGGAACTTCAGATTCTTAAAACTTGGGTCAAGTGCTGTAGCTATCTTTAGAAATCTCACATTGGTACCTTCTTTATGTTTTATGAAATCTGCAGTGAAAGTGTTCTTAAAATGAACAACATGTGCTGGGTCATCATCCAAGACTGCTATAACATGAAATATATGGCAGAATGCAGGTAAAGCAGAGCAGGGGACATACAATTCTCCCCCAAGGAGTTTAGTCACAAATTTAATTAACACATTATTTTTTTAACAAGCTTCATCAGCATGGAAGCATGTTCTATGGAATGGTGGCCGAAGCATGAAGGGGTATATGAATGCTTAGCCTATCTGCCACGTAAATACCTTGCAATGCCGGCTACAAAAGTGCCATGCGAATGCCTGTTCTCACTTTCTGGTGACATTGGGCTAGTCTACACTCGCAATACTAAAGTGCTGCCGTGGCAGCACTTTAATGTGGCTTGTGTGGTCGCGGCTCTAAAAAAAACACCTCCATGAGGGGCGTAGCTACCAGCGCTGAGAGTGCAGCTCCCAGCGCTGGGGCACTGTTTACACTGGCGCTTTTCAGCACTGAAACTTGCTGTGTTCAATGGGATGTTTTTTCGACACCCCTGAGCGAGAAAGTTGCAGTGTGGTAAATTGCCAATGTAGACAAGCCCATTGTAAATAAGAAGCGGGCAGCATTATCTCTTGTAAATGTAAACAAACTTGTTTGTCTTAGCAATTGGCTGAACAAGAAGTAGGACTGAGTGGACTTGTAGGCTCTGAAGTTTTACATTGATTTGTTTTTGAATGTAGTTGTGTAACAAAAAAATCTACATTTGTAAGTTGCACTTTCACGACAAAGAGATGGCACTACAGTACTTGTATGAGGTGAATTGAAAAATACTATTTATTTCGTTTATCATTTTTACAGTGCAAATATTTGTAATCAAAAATAATATACACTTTGATTTCAATTACAACACAGAATACAATATATATGAAAATGTAGAAAAACATCAAAAATATTTAATAAATTTCAATTGATACTCTATTATTTAACAGTGTGATTAAAACATTGATTAATCACAGTTAATTTTTTTGAACTAATTGTGTGAGTTAACTGCGATTAATCGACAGCCCTATTTTAAATTTTAGCAAAAATAGTTCAGCTGTTTCTCAGAATGAGATTAGGGGAAAATATATTGTTTTGCTATGTTGACAAAATACCTCCATTCATTTTGCTGAGAGGTTGAGGAGCAGGGATGCTCGCCTTAGTATCAGAGATGTGGTCCTGTAGAAATAATAGTATGTTGTCATCTAAGTAAAGACTGTATGATAATGCATATGTTAAGGGGCTGAATTAAAGTTGCAGAGGAGACCTTAATTCAGGCATTTCCTAACTTTGGAATGCTGGACTTTGCAACCTTGCCATTCTTTAATATATTTTTGTATGCAATATACAAACACAACAGTAAACACGTGCTGTATGGCTCACTTCCCCTATTGATGAAATGCAGCCACTTCTGGAGTGGAAAGTAACAACTATTTAGCACAATGCAACAGCACTATACAACAGTTGAATACAGGAAGAAGAGAAGAATACTATATCCTGCTGAACATGCAGTGGGGATTTGGGAGATAGAGTGTACCCAGGCAGGAAATTGACAAGATCGCTGTGGCCACACTCCTTTAACCTGTAAAAAGTGCAATGAGATCTGTATTGATCACAGGTGAACAGGAGCTTGGATTCTTCTCCTCTCCTTGGGGCACAGCAAGGCCTTTTAGCACCATGCTGGGATGCATGTCCACTTCCTTCTCACCGGAGCAGTTCCCTGCAGGACTGGGATGGTCCATGAAGGTCTTCCATCTTAGCTGACTCTGCTCCTCTTTTGAGATGCGAAATGACCACACAACCAACTAGTATGAAGCTTGGCAGGACTCCTGAAGGTATGAGACAAACCGCAAGGGGTCACTCACTCCCCTGGGGCACAAGGTTAGTGTTCTGGCTTACAGTAAATGGGACTACATATGCAGAATTGCTCACAGATGATGTTATCCCTGCACACTCAGCCTGTAATGTCCTTGTGGACCATTTTCTCATGGTCACTAAGACAGGGTTCCTTTGTGCCGGCTGGGCCACACAGCTCCTCCCCACCCCCTCAGAGTTCCACTCATTTCAGCTGGTGCCTGTCATTCTCAGTGCATCTGTGATGGGGTCACAACTCAGTTCGGAACGGTTCCAAGCATTGCCTCCTGTGTGCATCATTTGCTGAACTCTCGACCTTTCCTAACCTGTGCCGAGCATGCATGTTAATCCTGAGAGGATGGAAGCTCTAGAGAGACTCTTCACATGATGCATTTTAAGGTTTCTTGCCACATTCAACCAGAGCAAAATCCCTTCAAAGCCGCAGCCCAATGCAGCAGAACTAATTTGAAATGTCACTGAGGTCAGGCCCGGCTTCCCCAGCCATTACTCTGCTTCTCAGCCTACACCGAGTTTATTTATTTACATAGTCGCACATTTATTTAAGGCCCAGATCTCAGCTAGATGATGGGGTGCAGTGGTCTGCACAGTGAAGGAAGCCCAATGTTTGCAGGGCTCACAGCCCGGTGCAGGGATGCAAAAGGAAGGGGGGGGATAATTCAGAGGGGCTTCTTGTTCAAGGCATTTTATGGGGTAGAAATCTTAGGAAACCTGGCTGTTCCTCTGAAGGATTTTCCTTTTTTGCCCCTAGCTCAGCTTTGTTGTAAATATACTGAAAACAGCCTTTCCTCTCTGTTGGCCAGATCCTCAGCTGGTGTAGAGCCATTCACGTTAATTATGCTGATTTACACCAGCTGAGGAGCTGAGTATTTCTCAGAGTTTGCTTCTGCACCCCATGGAACTCAGAAAGCTCAAAGGTGCAGGGGATTTTTTGTTTTCAGATCACTTGGTCATTCACCTGTTCCGTGCTGATCAACAACTCCTTGAAACCCTGACAACATAGGCAACCAAGTTCATATTAGTAGGGAATCTGAACTCAGTTAGCTAGTGTCAGTTCATTGGAATTACTCTGGTTTTATTCTGGTGTGACTGAAATCAGAATCTGCTCCGGAATGCCCAAAAGATGCTTGAAAGTATTTCCCACTGGAAATCTTAGATGAAATCCTCCACTCTTAAACCAGTACCCTCTAAAAACATTCCTGAGCAAACAGATGCATCTTGCATTATGTCCAAAAAGTCAAAAGACTGGTTGGGACTACGAGGAAAAAGCTAGTTCCAAAGCTGAGGGCCATCTGCAGAGAACACACAATTCCTACCCCTCAACCTATCAATCAAGGAGTTGTAAATCCCAGTTGACCTCAGATGGTGGTCTACCCCAACCCAAGAAAGACTGCAAATGGCTTTCTATGTGCAAGTCTTTACAGGTCTCTTGGATAACTCCAAACTCTGAAGGGCTCTACAGATTAAAATCAACACTTGAGTTGCACCTGGGAGTGAGTCAGTACAGTGCTGTCTCTAAAGCACAGGTGTAATATGCTTCCTGAGCGCGCAGCTGCCTTCTCCACCTGCTGATGTTGGTATGTGATTTTGAGGGTAGCTCTAAAATACTTAGCTGAGCTTTCTAGAACTTTTTTGGGCACAGATTATGGACTCAGTTCTTCTGCCCAACCAGTTTTCCTATTCCCTTCTTTGCAGGCCTCATAGGGCAGGGGACAGCATCACTCCTGGTTCCTGGAGGTCTCCAAAGCTCTACCAGGCTGAGCTTTGCCTTTTGTTTCCCCTGCTCACCTATATTTTGCAGCTGGGCAGGAAGGATATAGTGACTCACACATCAGACACTGTGCTCTGGGTCTCTGTGCACTCAGTAGAAAACTCCATGTTCATGGGCAGTGATGGAAATGTGAAAGCAGCCAGCTCTGCACTGCTTGGGGATGCATAAATGCTACAATGAGGGTGAATTAATTCATCTTTGTACTTTGTTGATTTGAGCACTAGGTAGTTATTTTTAAAGTTTTTTTTTTCCTGGGGTGGTGGTGGTTGGAGTGCACCTAGCAAGGTTAGGGTTAAAACTTCCTCTGCACTGACTGCATGGCTTGTGAGAGAGGAGCATAGTTGAGCTCAGCTGAGACCAGTTACTGCTAGGGGCAGTGAAGTGGAACTGAGAGAGGAGGAAGCCAGGGGGTGGATAAATCCAGCCAGTGGGAAGGGTGTGTTGATATTCAGATAATCCCCTGGGGCAGGTTGGGGTAAAAATACAGACCAGAATTGCTGCAGACTCAACAGACAGAGAAGCCTCTGCCTCTTGTCTTTTGAGTGTTTGTTTCTGACAGGAGCCTCCGAATTTCATTCTCAGCTACTCTCAGCCTAGCCATTTGGGTTCTGTGACCCTGCACAGCGCCCCAAAGGGACAGTTTGCTATTTATTCCTAATATATGGGCTGTGGGACCATCCTATTTTGGGGCCTATGGGCAAAAGGGCTGTTTAAACCTCTGGCTTTTGTACCTCAGACCTGCCAATTGTCCTGCACTCTAGGAACATAGGAATTATTGCACTGGATCAGCCCAGGGATCCAACTAGTGAAGTCTCCTGTCTTCAGCAGTAGCAGTGGCTTCAGAGGAAGAACAAGAAACCCCATAGTAGACACTTATGTAGTAACCAGACCCTTGGGGATGTTCCTTCCTTAGCCCCCATCATTTAGGCTTTGCCTTATGGCCTGAAGCATGCAGGTTTAAATCCTGCTTTTTTTCTAGCTAATGTAAATGTGGTTGTTCTCATTAGCCACATACATGTCTAGTCCAAGGCTGTGGAGCTGACTAACCTATGACAGGAATGCTTAAAAGCAACACAACCAGGTCTTAGGAGAGTTCACAGTAACTTTAATTAACAGGATGAGCTGAGATGGATCTTACAGCTTGCAATGCCAACAAGGGAAGCAGAGTTTTGCTAGCAGTGCCTTTTCACTGCTGTTAGTTTAAAGACTTTAATTTGATACATTTTCATGAAAACAACTTATTTATGAGCTAGGCATAGTGTGAGCTGTTTTCTCCATCCGATTAGTCCAGTCCTGGGAATCCCCAGCAAACTCTGTTAGCTCTTCTGATGCACCTCATGCCTGACCTACAGCACCCCACTGTGCACTAAGCACAGAGTTAATCAAAGATCCCAGGACACCTGGCTGTAGAGCTAACTCTATCACTTACTTACCTGCCTTGTCTTCTGGCTCCTCCAGAACATCTTATTGACGTTCTGGCTGCACTTTTCCCCGCACTTGTTTATTTATGCACACCCGATCCGAGGCCCCAAGAAGTCGCGGGACCACCTGGTCAACCTCCTCCTAGCCATGGTCAACGTGGCCATTAGTAACACCAGGGAGAGGAGGTTGGCAGAGGCAGGGGCCTGCATCTGTGGGGCTGTTTTTTGTTCCTTTATCCGTTCACGTATCTGGGCAGAGTTCCTCTGGGCAGTGTCTTCCGGCTCTCTCGATGCCTTAGAGAGGAGCAATGGGCGCTGTCCGGGGTTCTCTGCTCAGTGTCCCCTTCTGGTTCCCTAGTTTTGGCCCTTTGACCCCCATGCCTGTTCCTATTATTGCATTTGTTGTCCCCCGAACTTGGTTGGGTTCTGGGTTTAGTAGCCCCTCCTTAGGCTGGGGGAGGGGATTTTAGCAGTGTCCCGGTGCTCAAAAGGACTACAGTTGCCTCTTTGCTTGTCTTTCCTCTGTGCACAACTACACTCACTAGTCCTGGGCCCTACACAGTTCTGTTAAGGCAGCTTGTTCATGACCAGGTGTGTTTCACAGCCAACACCTATATCATGGAGATCAACTGCACTCTTGTTATTGTAGGGCTGTAATATATAGTAGACAGATCTTTATTAATTTTTGATTTCTGTGTGTTTGGGAGGGAAATAGAAAGAGGGGTTTCAAAGTCAACATTGTATCCTTATTTATGTATAATGCAGAGGGTGAGGGTCCAGGCAGTTAGCACAAGAAACCTGATCACAGCTGTAAATGCTCTCTGTCTGCAATCCTGCAGTGCCAGAGGCTGCCTGCTGCAGGTTTCAGCCATTCACACCCTAAGGGTTGGCCTGGCTTCACAGAGAACATTTTCCACTTTTCAAGCTGTATTAGATCCCTTTCCTAAGGTTCCCAACAATCACAGCCTGGCTTCAGAAGAGCAAAAAGCCACGGGGTGGGGCGGAGAGGTGAGGGGATGATTTTAAAGAAAGAACAAAAGACAAACAGGAAATCTAACAAGGTTAACATTCTGCTGCTGTTCTACTAAGGAGACTGTGACAGGACAGGTGGAGAGGAGCCTGGAGCGGCTGTGACTGCAGTGAGAGAAATATCAAACCACACCAGGAACAAAGACTAGAGAAAAGAACTTGGGGAAAGGCTTCACATCAGCAAGTCTGTTAGTGGGTGAGATTAAAGAGCACCTGCCACATCCCCAAAAGGTTGTATTAAAAATCTGGGAGGAGCTGCTATTAGTGAAAAGAGCTAATGAAGACAGATGGCTATGGGGGAAATCCAGACACTTGCTACTCCGATGTTCAGTCCCAAAATACACACACACATAGCTAATTATAAAATTATTCATTGGAGTGAAATATGCACTTGTCACAGATAACAGGTTTCTTTTCAGGTGGCTACTTAGAGTTAATTATGAAGATAAGATTGGTGGAACACAGGGAAAGTTAGGGGCTTTAGTTAATACAGACAAACGTAACTGAAAAGAGAAAAATCAATATACATAAATATAAGAATTAAATAAGTACAGTAAAGTGGCTTCTTGTATTGTTCATACTTACAATCTTATGTTGTGGAGACTATTAGAAACAAAGATGGAAGGAAAAGTAAGTGTAGCACATTAAAGAGGTGGTCCTGGTTCAGTTTACGTTGTCTCGGGGAACCACTGTACCCAAAAATTAGAGAACTACACTGGATCTTTTAAACCCCTTC